GGGTTCTATTCAACGAACTGATTATCTTGAAACCTCTTTTGAGAGGTAGAACAGCCTGCGACCTTCGAATGCTCTTTCAATAGCACGACAAGTGAACCACTACCGAATGATCACTACATGCATCTCTAAGCTCACCTAAGTTCAAAGGCAGAGTCCAGGATTGAATTGATGTGGCAGTCCCATTCAAATATGAAAGTAGGGATGCGAGAGTCGACGTGAAGAGAAAAAGGAAAAGAAATTGTCAAACACATTCGAAAACACTCCACTTCCCTCTACTGCGGAGGAGTATAAGAGGCAGACAACGAGATAAGGGATAATGCGAGTCGTGAAGGGGACAAACTCCGATCTGAAAGAGCATAGCACATCCTACGAGAAAGACAAGATGCTGAACGGCGGTGGGCGGGCATTGATCCTTCTGAGGCCGTATGCTGAATATTGGGGAGGGGATGGGGAAAGGTTGGGGGCAGGGTCAACCGTCCGTTGGACAAAGTCCAACGCGACGACGAGAGTAATGCCGAGAGTGAACGTACGCACGGAGACACAGACGGCTCGGGTGGCGAGAGTGAATGCCGGCGCGGAGAGCGGTGAACATCGGTCCAACGTCGCTCCAATATCGGTCCAACGTAACGGTTGACCCTGGTTGGGAGGTTCGTCGCAGGACCCACTGGGCAACGGCCGCACCTTTGATTTTGTAGCTTTGTTTCCATTCTTTCATTCGCTGTTTTTGGTGAAGAAAGGTATTACGAGCGAATATACAATCAGAAACAGTAAAAGAATGGAAACAAAGCTGCAAAATCAAAGGTGCGACCGTTGCCAAAGTGGGTCCTGCGACGAACCTCCCCAACCTTTTCCCATCCCCGTCCCATCCCAACATTCAGCATACGGCTCCTGGATGGGGGATGATACAAATCCCAAGCTCTCAGCGTTTCAGTAAGGCGCGAAAGTGGCGCGATCACTGCAGGGACGGACCTAGCGCGTCTATCCACGAGATGAACTTTTTCAAGAAGGTTGAACCCGAGCATTACTTTTTTTATAATAGTTGCGAAAGTGGCGAAGGGTTGAGAAAAGAGAAAGAACTAATACTCTTTATATAGCGTATTAAGCTCTCAAGATGAACGAAATCATGCTGATATAGTGGGATTTGCCAATACAGGTCTTTGTATAGGCCTCTATTGCCAAGCCCAGTATATGTGTCAGGGTGTTTACTAAATTTTGACACACACACTTCACAGGCCCACCGAATCAATTATCGATTACCGTCGAAATTGTGCGGCGGCCCTAGATGCCAGAATTGTTACGTAGCGCTTTCAGGTTATTGTCGCTTCCGGTCGTTTTCAACAGCAAGCGTTTCTCGCAACAATCCACAACGCTCATGGCATGAGCAAAGCTCCATGTGCCCGAGGTGTTGCACGTCAGCTTTGAATTCCCACAACAGCCATTCAACGCGAAGCGAATAATGTACTAAGAAAACTACCATTGAGTCAGATGAAGACTGAAAAGACCATTTCTAGGCACGTGCGAAGAACAGTCCACACATTTGAGTGACGATCAAGGAAACCACTAACCGCAGTATGAAGTGAACTGTTAAGAGGAACGGAAAGGTTCTGCAAGATTGCAATATGAAGTTGGCTCAAGGAGTGAAGTGGCGAAAAGGTTCCGCGGTCTACCGTGTTGCCACGTCTGTTGAATTCGTTCGCTCACGGATGCCGCTATAAAGAGCAGTTTGGAAAAGCGAAGAAATCGCCTAACCAGTCCATTAGGCATTTCTAGATTCTACGGAAAGACAATATATATCCGCTAAGTCGAATGAGCACCAGAAAACGAAAACAGTCGTGACTTGGGCAGTCGAAGTTATTCGATAGAGGCCTGCGTTCTACCGAATCATGTACCCAAAACTCCCTCACAATATACAATACATGAGTGGTCTCATAGTGCAGGTGATTGCAAAATGATAATTTGAAGATGTAAAGATGGTAGGCAATTTGGCAATTTCTGAAGATAACCGCAACATTTTCTTCGATGCGAACGAATCTATGTGAGGTGAAGTGAGAAATTAAGAAGAAAAACGTGCATAAACTTGGACGTCCTGGTTGTAGAGAGGTAGTGATTTTCACGGCAAAATTCTGTGAACTAGGCAGCCAACGTCAAAATGTTAGAGTGAGGGAGATTCGGAGGGCGGAGCCACCTTCGGAGAAAATCCCGAGCAGTAGTTCAAATTGACTGCAACTCCATCAGCCATCGTAGATGGAGGACATTCAAAAAATTATTCGGCAGGTTCAGTGACTTTACTGAAAAGAAACGGCAAAACTGGCGAAGAAATGGAATTTCAGAGAGGTGAGCGGATCATATAACGCACGCTCAAAGGAACACTTCAAAAGTCTTTGGCAGGATATCAAATGCCATCGGTGTTGTCACCAGCTTGCAACAGTTTCGATCAGTCTTCTTTGAGTGCCTTCATGAGGCCTTAGTGAGGAGAACCGCTAAGCGCTCAACAATTCATAAGTATGAGCCTAGTACTAAAGACCTCGCTAAAACAGCGCATCAGTGAAGATCACTGGAAATCTGGCTTCCTAGGGGTGAACGCGATCGCTCCTTCCTTCCTATTCCTAGAAATGTCCGCAGGCGGCCTTTCTGTGACGTAGCGTGAAAAGCGTAATGGCTTTGTCACACTTAAAAAGCCCAACATCAAAGTATAGGATGTCGCGGAAAGCAGAACCACAATCAAGCACCCACAAGCATTGCCTACACGGAGGTCTTTACCTTATCAGTCCTAGTTCTTCGAGCTGCTTAGGAAAGCTCGGAATAGAACGGTCATCAACCTCTACTCTTACTCCCCTTTCGTATGTTTCAAAAACAGACGAAATGCAGCTGTCGATCTGGAAAGAGCGCGAAGTTGAGCTTACAAATACTCTGGAATGGAGAGAATTCTAACTTTGACACAGGTGTGCTATGCGATTTTTCAGCTTTTGGCTGTGATCGTACTCTGAGTTGCCAACTCTCAGGAATTCAAAGCAAGAAGCAGGTGAAATTTCATCGAAAACGAAAAGCTTTGGACACCGCTGAAGGTGTGCCACGCCCTGACTTCTACCGCCTAATCCAACCCAAATTGAGCGACAGGTGTTGAAGCAGTAGTATTGCAAGGGTTTTTCTTGAATGCGGAAAACCTGGATCAGTGATTACTCGAGGGTGCCAAAGGTCCGACGAGAGCGCGGCACTCTATTTCGTTGTGTAAACATTGTCAGATGTCCTCGATTCGATGTTTGAGAGAGCTGAGAAGAGTGATTAATTGAAAATGAAAAGCCCGACAGAGAGGATCCGGGCCAGTCACCTCGGGAGGTCGCCACGTGAAAGCGCTGATTGATCCTTTAGGACGAGAACAGAGCCACGGTCAGCGGGGTTTTCCACTGCTTTTCAGCAACATAAGGAAATCATGCCTCTACAAAAACAATAGCACAAAATTGCAAACTTATTTCAAGAAAATGGTGTCAAGTGTGGACAGTCTTTCGTCTGTGAACTTGTCGCTTTCTGCAGGCATGCCATGCCCCTGTGGACTGTTTCAAATAATTCATAAGGGCTACATCGAGGGACTCTTTATTAGAAAACCTGGAAGAAAGCAGATTAGGTAATCTTCGAGAGTGAAGTTGTGTAACAGATCGTGCTGCCTACAGTGAGCGCGAATTTGGCAGGGAGACAAAACCTAAGGGTGAGTGAACCATTTTCTTTGCCCAAAAATCAAGTGACTTTTTTCAAAACATTGACTTAAAGAGAAGTTTGACTTGTTTTGTTTGCTGACTGCTGTTTTTGGCCGCAGTTCGCCTTGCGAATGTTTTACAAGAATGCTGAATGTTCACAACCCAGCATTCTTGTAAAAGAGAAGTGTTTTGTTTGTTGTCTCAGTAGAGCAGAGAGATGCGTTTGCCGTGGTGTTGATTGAGTGATTGATTGATCGATATCATTAAATCGACCTCTCGACCCCCTATAGCGGTCATGGACTGGGACCATTCACGCTATAATTGCGCTTGCTTAGTACATCCTCGTTGCGAGCACTGGCAGGTGAGTAAGGTTATTAAGTTTTGGTTCTGTACAAGTGGGTGGGCACGCCCAGCTTTCACGCATGTCAAGTGACTGCCCTCACCCCCCACCCCCCCCCTAGATTGGCTCCCCCTGGCTCACGAATTCCCCGATTCTCGTGACAGTATAGTAGCGGGCAGCAGTCCCACTTACATACATTTCTGTTCAAAAAATGCGGCGTGCCCACCCTACTTGTACAGCATACAAATTTTCATTTTCGTGTCGCTGTTAGAGTAAACAGCGATTCCTAAAAGTAGTTCTGCCTGATTTGTGTAAGATTTCACGCAGTGCAACTCTGCGATTCCATATTACATTCCTTAGCTTTGCCAATTTGTAAGTCCTCTATCACCGTCTCCGTGGCATTTTTTCTCACTATGTGACGAAAAGGGTCACGCAATGAAAATTTGGAGAGCATTTCTATGTTGTTTCTAAATGTTTCGTTTGGCGCCGAAGCAACAACAGCCCCGTCAGACCGTCCAGGGCCTAAAGCAGTACTCGGACGCTTACGCTCACTCTTTTGATGTTAATTGCCGATATGGTCCTATAACGGGATGGCCCTACATGCTTCTGGCTCCCCGTTCGCACTGATACTGAACACAGCAGGGTCGGAGGAGACTTTGGATCTCCATTGTTCAAATATTTTTGCATGCCTTCCCCCTCAAAAAATCGTGTATCGAACATAGCGGCGAATCTGCAACTCGCTGTCTAGCTGTTGCAGAAACCAAGCAAGGAGGAACATAACCACGAAATTTCACTCATATGGGAGGGATGAGCTCGCCTGTTGTGATACCTTAAAATGCGAATAGTTTCGTCATACTAGAAGTCATTTACATCTTGTCTAAAACGTACATAAGATTATTCTAAGCTTTATCAAGGTGTCAAGAAAACAATAAAGTTGAGGACAGAAGTTTACAGACTGCTGTAAATCCGACTCGTTCGCATTCACATGGTTGGTCCCAGGAACACGTGAGGAAAATGAGAAGCAAAACGAAGCAAGTCGACGGATGTTCGCTTCCTTTCTTCCTCGCTGTTCAGCATGATAGCGCTGAACACCACTGAGCATGGCAAAAGTGGCTGTCACACTGGCTGACTTAACATTGGTAGGTAATTTCAATCTATAGTGGAACTTCTAGGGCACTAGAAGTGCAATGCAGCTGATTTAGCCATTTTCTTATAAAATGTGGGGCTTACGTGTACATAGTTATAGGGGGCATATTGGTGCAAATATGTATGTAACTCAATATATTCCGACATGCATTTTCGTCTATTTACTACAACTCTCTTTCGTTCAGGAACTTTTTAACAACCTTGTTCCT